TTTTTTTCCCCTTGCTGCTTTTAAAATTCTCTCTTTATCCTTAACTTTCAACATTTTAACTATAATGTGTCTTCGTGTGGGTCTCTTTGGGTTCACCTTGTTTGAATTTTGTGGGTTGCCTGGATCTGGATGTCTATTTCCTTTCTTAGGTTGGGCAAGTTTTCAGCCATTATTTCTTCAAATACATTTCATGCCTCTTCTTTTCTCTCTTCTCCTTCTGAAACCTCTATAATGAAAATGTGATTCTGCTTGATGTTGTCCTATAGGTCCCTTAAACTATCTTCGCTTTAAAAAATTCTTTGTTGTTGTTGCTCTAATGGGTGAGTTCCATTACCCTGTCTTCTAGCTTACTGATTCTACCTTCTGCTTCATTTAGTCTGCTATTGAACCTCCCCTGTACTGTATTTTTCAGTTTGGCTATGGTATTCTTCAGTTCTGTGACTTCTACTTGGTACTTTATTGTATTTTCAATCTCTTTGTTCAAGTTCGTGCTGTGTTCATCCATTCTTCTCCTGTGTTTGGTGAGCTTGGTTATGACCATTACTTTGAATGCTTTATCAGGTAAATTACTTATTTCTCTTTCATTAAGTTTTTTTTCTGGGATTTTATTTTATTTGGAACATATTTCTCTGCTTCTTCATTTTGCTTGACTTTCATGTTGCTTCTGTGTATTAGGCAAAACAGCTCTCTCTTCTAGTCTTGCAGGAGTGGCCTTATGTAGGAGATAAAGCAGTTTAACCTTGCCCTAGCTCTTTGATGTCTCTTAATCTTTTGTGATTGCCTAAGCAGTTTGATTTATTATTGATAAATTCCAGTTGTTGAGAATGTGCTGAGACCTGTGAGTGTTTCAGAGGAAGGGATCTCAGTGAGCACTTAGTTTCAGGCTAGTTGGAAGCTAGACCCTTAAGGTTTGCAAATATATATAGTTGTGAGACTATAATTGTAGACCATGCTAGTCTCCAGTCCAAATGATCTAGAAGTGTCCCCTTAGTGACAACTGCAAAATTTGGGGCTCTAGACAAGTAAGCTCCTTTCTGGGAGAAGCTATAGTAAAGCCAGATGAGAGCTCAAAAATGGCATTCCCCCAGCCTGCATTCCCTGAGAGCACTTCTGTAGCCTCTCAACGTGTGGTAAACCTGAAGCCTGCCCCTCTGCCAAGGCTCCAGCTCAAGTAGGTAGGCTTTTTTCATAGGAAGGCTAGGGGTGTAAATCAGTCTTGTTGATTCTTCACAAATGTATTATTATTATTATTTTGTCTAAAAAGTATAAAGTCTGTCCGTTTTTGGTCACTTCTTTGAGTCTCACATTTTCAAGAACTCCTGTATATATAAAATTAAATTTGTTTTTCTTCTGTTAATCTATGTCAATTTAATTATTAGGCCAGCCAAGAAGGGAAAACTCCCCCCCACCCCCAAACTAATTCATTACTGTATAGTTTTCTTGATTGTGTCTCTCAGAGTTTTGACCTACATACTCTTGAAGGCTAGAAGCATTTAAAAAATAGCTATCCTTTAACCGCCAGAAATTTGTATTTTTGCACTCAGTGAAAATTGCAAATTTGTAGGGAGGATTCTCCTTTTGTTCTGGGAGAAACAATTTTGTTTTCAGTTTTAGAAAGAAAAGGTAGTTCCTTGATTTGAACTAATCATCAGGTGTTTTAAACGCATATCTAACATGCAGGGCTAGAGTGCTCAGAAGCACCTGAGTTTTTTTTTTAAATTCAAATAGCCAAGGTATAGTAAATCATTAATTTTTGATATAATGTTCAATGATTCATTAGTTTAGTTTATCACCCAGTGCTCATCATATTATGTGCTCTCTTTAATGCTCATCATCCTGTTACCCCATCCCCCACCCACCTCCCTTTCCGCAACCCTCGGTTTGTTTCCTGGAGTCAAGATAATCAGAGAAACACAATTATCATAGGGTTTCCCTCATATGTGGAATATAAGGAACAGTGCAGAGGGCAATAGGGGTAGGGGGGAAACTGAATGGGAAGAAATCAGAGAAGACAAACCATATGAAACTCTTGACTCTGGGAAACCGGTTTGGTTTTAAATGTAAATAATAGTCATATCTGAACCTGAACACACAAAACAGGAAGTATTTCCCTTCACCAGCCTTTCCTGGGTTGGTGCAGGCCAGACTGAGAAGACTTGGTATGCACTGTATCCTGAGGGTGGGACTGGGAGAGTGCTGAGATAGCGACTAAAGGAGCATAAAGGGACACTCATTTAGGGGAAAGCACATCGGTTTCTGTTCTCAAATTTAAAACTAGAGATTCATCAGCTCCAGGGACTCAGGTAAATAATCTTTGTATTTTATTTTAATCAATAAAACAAAAAGTTGAACAACGAGGTGAACATTTTTGGGTATACTAATATAAGACCAGTCTTCCTGCCAGGGTCCCCCTTTGCTATCCACCCCCCGCCACCACTATCTTTGGGAACATCTGGACTTTGATGAAGTTGTCCAAAGGCAAATAGATCAGATTAGGATGTTAAATATACTGGTTAATAATCTAGAGGTTGGTTCCTTGGTGGTGGTTTGGGAGACATGGTGGGCAGGGGAAGGAGTACAGCAGGGAGATATTTTTCATAAGATGGCATGAGGCAAAGGGAGAGAGAAAGCCATATTTTGGAGGTCTCTGAGTTGGAGGAGAAGAGCAGATGGGAAAAAAAGCTCTGAGAGAGGGATAGGATTGCTGGGGGACTGCTTTTATTTTTCTCCATTAAACAGTTCTGTGTTGAGGTTATTTCTGAAGACAAGAGGTAGCATTGAATCAATCACTCTTAAGTGTCCTTGCTTATCCTTAAGCTTATACTCTGTGCTGTGTGGCTTTCAGAGGAGGTGCCCCACCACTTGCTGTTTCTGCTGAAATCACATGGTCACCCACCTGCCCAAGTCCCCAGCTCATGAGTGTGTGATTCTTCTGCCAGGCCCTCTCTAAGGATTGTGGCTTTGTGACAAAAGGAGAAGTCTGGATTCACCCCCAGATGCAAATATTCAGCCCTCACTCTGAAATCTTGTGCAATTTAATTTTCATCTCTATCACCAGCCAAAAGTTCTTGAAACCAATAAACGACCCAAGGGATTACTTTGCAGGCAAAGTCCACCATGCTGCCAGGCTTCATTGCTCCTGAAGATATCCCTTGTTACTCATTTTTATTCCAAATAAACAGATCTCTGGCTACATACGTGGCTGTGTTATTATTATCTTCTCTCCCCTCTTGGCAAATGATTAAGGCCAATGCTCAGTGGTGTTTTTGTGGTGTTGTGTTATAAGGACTGAATTGTGGACCATAGTACCTTTCCCTATTCACAGTGTTTGTGACTAAACTCAGGTGAGCCCTTGGAGCCCAGAGTAGGAAACACTGGAATCTGTCTTCCCACCCAGACAAAGATTACACTGGCAGAAAAAGGCAGTCTACAGAATAGGAGGACATATTTGCAAATCATATCTGATAAGAGATTAATATCCAGAATGTACAGAGAACAATTCAAACTCAACATTAAAAGAATAAACAACACAATTCAAAAATGGGCAAAGAACTTGAAGAATTTCTCCAAAGAAGATATATAAAAGGCCAATAAGCCCAGGAAAAGATGCTCAACATCACTGATCATTAGGGAAAGGCACATCAAAACTACAATGAGATAATGCTTCACACTATGAAAACAATCTAAGAGTCCTTCGAAGGATGAATGGATAAGGAAGATGTGATATATATATATATATACACACACACACTGGAATATTTCCCAGCCATTAAAAAAGAAGGCAATTCTGTTATTTGGGACAGCAATGGATAGAACTTGAAGGCATTAAGCTAAGTGAAGTAAGTCAGACAGTGAAAGACAAACACCACATGGTGTTGCTTATATGTGAAATCTAAGATAAATAAACTACCTGAATTCATAGATAGATTGGTGGCTGCCAGATGGGCATGGTGGAAGGTGAAATGGGTAAAGGGAGTCCAAGGTACAAACTTCCAGTTATAAAATAAATATGTCATGGGGATGTAATGTAGAGCATGGTATTATATATTGTAAAGTATTACATATTGGAAAGTTGTGAAGAGAGTAATCTTAAAAGTTCTCAACACAAGAAAAAATTGTAACTATGTTCAGGGATAGATGTTAGTTAAACTTATTGTGGTGATCATTTTGCTATATGTACATGTATCACATACCATAATATTGTACACCTATGTCCCAATTATACCTCAATTTTTAAAAATGCCACATTAACCTTGGGGGAAATTAAAAAGAAAGAAAGGTATGTGGAGTTCCTGTGGCTGGCTTGCTGCAGATGACTTTACAGAGGATAGAAATGACTAATGGCAATTTCAATTAGAAATTGTGTGGCTTATGACAGAAATACTATCTTTGGTCCATATAATCTATGGCAAACTCTGCATTGCTCAGCAAATACTACTGGAGTGGATTTACTTTATGGGGTTGTAAGAAATGCCAAATGCCATCCTGACTCCCAAAGGGAGGCCCAAGGTGGATCAAAATACCACCCTTTCTTTTTTCTTTTTCTTTTTTTTATTATGTTATGCTAGTCACTGTATAAAATATCACCCTCTCTTGGGGTGAGGGATTACACAGGGTGATACCTTGCCTACCAGTGCTGGGAAAGTTTAAAATTAGAAAAGGCTTGACAACATTTAAAACACTTTTTATTCTGGACATTTCCAAACATATATAAAGATAGAAAAGTGGAATAAGGAATCTTTATGTGCCAACTATACTTCCAAAAAAAAAAAAAAAAACTTTTCAAAATTTAAAAAAAAAAAAAGACTCTCCATGTACCCATCATTCAGCTTTAACATTTTGACAAATTTGGGTTCATTTTTTAAAAAAATTATATTGTAACTTTTCATAAAGCTGTATTTAAAGACACTGATGAATCACTGAACACTACCTCTGAAACTAATGATGTACTATATGTTGGCTAATTGAATTTAAATAAAAAAAATAAAGACACAAGAAATGTTGAGGACATTAATTTTTTAATAGCAGTCATGTTAGAGAACAGCACTGGAAATGTATTTCTTTTGAAATAAACTAGAAACTTAAAATGTCTTGAAGCCACTGGAAACCATATGATTAGTTGAATTAGTTTCTAAGATTTGGGGTGAGATAGCACTCAACAGATGCAGTATGTGATTCTAGGATTTCTTTCACCACATTGTGAATGTGACCTGTAGAAATCAGGAAAAAAAAAAAAGGAGAGAATAAATGAATGAACAAATTAGGATTTATCAGTTTCATCTTTCTTTACATTATCTTGTTCCAAATATCAAAACTTCCATTCCACCCATCTCTTACTGCCAAATTGCTACATATTTAAGATCTACGTCAAATCATGGCCCCTGATTCAGCACAATCTATTAGAAAGAGTCACAATCAGCAGTTAAGATTCAGATGAGTCTCCTAGGTTAGGGTCTCATTATGCTTCCTTGCTTGAAAATTGCATTGATTTATTCTTCCACAATATTTATTAAGTGACGACTAGGTGTCAAGCATTGTTGTTAGGTGATTGAGGGAACCAGTAGAATGCTCTGTAGACTGCCAGAGTTAACTTCTGTTATCAAATGTCAATGGGTCATCAACCATGCAAAGTAGGAGTCTCCAAAAGGCAGAGAACACCAAACAATCATTTTCTTTGACTGTACCAGTAAACTGTCACAGCCTCCTTGCCTTAGGGCTACTTTGGCATCAAATTCTGAGTCAAGTTGTTAATATAGGACTTTTAACAAATGTCACTGCTTGCAAAGAGAGACAACAGTCAATTCTCAGGAGGTAGAATTAGTTATATATATATATAACATATATATATATATATATTATAAGGAGGAAAAAGAATGATAAGAAAACTCCCCATCTTGACTCTGCCTGAAACTGAGTAAAGCACTTTAGTCATTCTAGGAAGCCATGGAAACAATCAGAAGACAAATGCTAGGATACAAAAATGCAACATGAAATGAACTAAAATGTTCGTGAAGAAGACACCATTTTGTGGGACATGTGGCAAAATAACTAAGAAAAAGATCGCACCAGTGACAACTTATTCTACACAGGAATGTGCCATCCTGATCAAACACTCCCAGAGACCTCTTGGGAGAAAGGATTTTATAGATAATAGTCATTTCCAGGTGAAAACTAAACTTTGATTGCAAATTCCACAGGGACTGGCAATAAGAGATGGAAAGACAGGACAAGTAAACTATTACCTGCATGTCTGAGAGAAACAGATACTCAGATTAAAAATGTGACTAGGGGAGCTAGGAAATAGGTAAATGAGCAGCTACCCAACTTCAACAACACAGCCACCAAAAAGTCAGTAACTCCTCTTCATAGCAAGGGCTTTAGGAATTTTGGATAACTGGGTGAAATGTCCACACTGAATTTATGGAGACTAAAATAGCTTCCCATCACTTTGGAGGAAGGATTATTATACTAATATTCTGGTGTTGTCAAGAACACGGAACTAGGCACATTATACAGTCACACTTAGTATCTAACACCTCAACTGATTAGTGTTGGTAGCAGCAGACCTAGGAACTAGACTTAGGGAAATGAATGTTTGGTCACACACCTATCTTGACTACTTCCAATCATGATCTGGTTAAGATACACATGGTTGATATGGGGCATGCTCATTGGTACATCACATGGCAGACAGCCTAACAAACCTCAGAATTCTTTCCTATCCTTCCAGGTTTAGCCTTCTCAACCCATGGAAGCTGACTACCAACTGTTGGTGTAGGCTGGCAATTAAAAATCATTTATCCTCCATTTTGTAAGGGATGTTTCATGTATTTGTGAGAGAGGACCAAGGAAATAAAGGATGTTAGCATTTGTTTTGATACTCTTAAATCAAAGAATTCCCACCAACTTACCAAGCACCTTTTAGAAAGCATTCATTGCTTTTCTTTTTTCAATATCTCGCTTGAGTTGACAAAGGCTGCATAGAGGGAAACAGTTCAGTTGTAGGAAATCACCGCAAATAGATCCCTGTTAAAAAACAAACAGTGGATCCACATAGAGCCCATAAATATAGTCACACAAGTCCTTGCATTTACATAGTTTTTCAAAACTCTTTAAAAGGTATATTTTATGTCCCTGGTTATCGTGAGAATTCTCATTATCCCCATTTTTCTGATGACCCAAACGAAGGTAAATGATTTGTTCAGAACACATAACAAATTGGTAGTGGCACTTGGTCTTTCTTTTCTCAAGCCAGTGCCCTTAACCATATATGACATGATTTTAACTGATCCTCAGGTTATGACTAAAGGCCTCATCCTCTAATATCTCTTCTGAGATGCTTCCCTTTAAAGCCTGTTGTGAAATGCACCAATTTTTCTGTAGTTTGTGAGCAGAGCCAGATGAGGCCCCACATTGTATCCCTCTATAGCCATTTTCACTGACATCTTTCAAGTCCTCAATGGAAGAAGTTTGGAGCAAAGGGGAGATACATAAATTATGGGGGAAAGAAGAAAGAAAAAAATGACTATTGTTTGGAAAGCCATGGAATAGGGTACTTTGCAAGGATTTGAGGGCCCTCTCAATGGAAGGTCCAGTTGGGTCCTCCATGACCTTCTGGAAGACATGCCCTTGAAGGGGTTCCTGTTCTGCTGCAGGAGTCACTGAGGGAACCAGGGAGTTATAGTCTGATAACCTGGTTTTATTACTGCATGTCTTGACAGATTGAAATAATTTTGAGCTCCATTATTTGACAGCACTTATGTTTTTAAATGTTGAGTTTAATATAATTCCCAATTTACAATGTGAACTCGTGGCGTGGGGTGGGGCGGGGGTGTGGTGTATAGTTAGGAGCTTCTAAATGGTGAGATTATGAGTGATTTATTTTTAATGAAAAAAAATTTTTCCCATTGCCACAGTGATTTTGATCGTCATGTAACAGAGTAAGCATTTGGGGCAAAGAGCCAATCCATACCTATAAAGGGCGGTAACAATCTCCACACCACAAGAGTTTGCAAGTAGTAAATGAGCAAATATATGTCAGAATAATATCCCAGCTCATGGTAGTACAATCAGTGGTTGTCTCTTTTCTTCCTCCTTCTCTCCTGCACAGGTTGTGCCCTGGCCAAAGAGATGCTCTTTTGGCTGTATTCATGAAGGGAGGGGCAGATCAGAGAGGCTGCATTGTAGCAGTCTCATAAAAATTTGCACAGATATGAAAGGGAAAGAAAACAGAGAGCCTGAGTGATACAAATCAGTCCTGGGAATTATTTTTAGGTCTGTTCTAAGGAGGAAATAGAGATACACTGTCTATAAATATACTGCTTCATTGTATGTTGAGGAAACCTACTATATCTAGAATCCTAGACCTAGAAATCATCTTGCACAACTTCCTCATGATGGATGAGAAAACGGATGCCACCACATGATTTATCAGAGAACATGCTGAGCTATTCCCAAAGCCTTATCTCCAGGATCCAGCTAAGTGCCGCTTCCTATACACCATGTTGGGGTCTTGGGCTGCTTTGAGAACCTTACCATCACACCATACACATAAGTACACATGCATGACACTCTGCATACAATTCAGGAAGTTCAAGGTCAAGGCATAAAGTTAAGAACCCCTGTGTGTTATGCTGCCTTAGGAGTAGCATGAATGAGAGCAGCCTTGAGTGCTGAGCAAGTCAGGTAGCTGAGCAAGCACACAGGAGAAATGAGGCCAGGGCCCTGAACACACCTCTGCCCTGAGGAAATGGCTGAGTAATTCTCTGAGAAAAGAATAAAAATAAAAGTGATTGTTTACTGAGCACTTATTACTTGCCAGGTCCTGTGCTAAGCCCTTTCCACACATTATCTCACATGATTCTTGCTACCCCATTAAAGGGGAGGTATTGTTGTGACCATTTAGCAGTGAGGGGGTCGAGGCTTAGGGAGATTAACAACTTGCTCCTGTTGCAATGGGAGCAGTGGGTGGGGCAGAGGCTATGTTTCCAGGAAAAGAATCCATCATGTCACTTCTTTGTTTAAAACATTTTCAGTGGCTTCCCTGCTCACTCAGAGTAACAGCTGAAGTCCTTATAATGGTTTCTCAAGGCCCTAGAATTTCTAAATCTTGCTCTAATGTCATCTTTTTCTATGACATCCTACCCCCACCCTCTCACTCATTCTATTCCTGCCTCTCTGGCCCCTTGCAGTTTCTGGAACATTCCAGATAAACTCTACTTTAAAGCCTTCGGTGACACTCTTTCTTCTGCCTGGCTCTTCCCCAGAGGGGTCATCTTCTCATCCTTTCAGTTTTGTAGCAAGGCCTTTCCTGATAACCCTATTTAAAAGTAGAATTCCCTTTCTAAAAATGTGGATGGGCATGGAATTTTGTTGAACTTTTTTTCTGCATCAACTGAGATGATCATATGGTTTTTCTTTTTGAATCTGTAAATAGAGTATTCTGATATTGAGCCATCTTTGCATTCCTGGGATAAACCTTGCTCGGATAAAAATATATTTTATGATGCTGAAAAAAAAATAAAATAAAATTAGAACTCTTCAACATTCTTTATTCCTCTTCTTTGCTTTATTTTCTTCTGTACCACTTATCAGCATCCTATAAGATTTTTACTTAGTTACAGTGTAGCGATCTTCTCCTATTAAAGTGTAAGCTCCACGGTTGACAACCATCACAGTAGTAACTAATTCAGGTGAGAAGCTTTAATGGATGTTAATCCCAGTGGGTGAAGGTTTGATGAGCAATAGGATATTTACATCTCTCTACATGGTCCTTACTCATTATAAAGGGGAAAATGGCAAACTTACAGTGGAGAATCCTGGTGGACTCTACCTTAACTAAGTAATCAAAGTAAACAACAACCATAATGGAGTACACTGATGTTATGTGCCTCTTGATAGGAAGCACAGCAAATATTGCATCAGTTCTATGGAGGTTCTGCCAAAGTATAAAACCTAAGTCTAACCGTGAGGACACATTTGACACAACAAATTGAAAGGATAGTCTACAAAATAACTCATCTGTATTTGGGGGGAAAAGAAAGACAAGGAAAGACTGAGAAACTATTCCTTATTGTAGGAAACTAAAGAGGAAGGACAATTGAATACAATGTGTGATTCCAGATTGATTTTCTTCTCATCCAGAGAATGTTATTGGTAAAGTTTAAATAAGATCCACAAATTAGCTAATAGTACTGTATCAGTGTTAAATTCCTGATTTGGATCATTGTATTATGGTTATATAAATGAATGTCCTTGTTATTAAGAAATACATGATGTAATAGAGGTAATAGGACATGAAGTTTGTAATTTCCTATCAATGTTTCAGAAAAAAAAGAATAGACAAATAGGTGGAGGAAAAAGAGTAAATAAAACAAAGATGGCAAGATTTTAGTATTTGGGGAATGTGGGTGCAGGATATTCAGGAATTCCTTGCATCGTTTCTCTTCCCCCCACCCCATTTATTATTTCTGCAACTTTTCTTTAAGTTGGAAACTATGTTAAAATAAAGGTCTTAAAAAAATAAGAAGAAAAAGGATGTAAGCTACATGTAGACAGGGATTTTGATTTGCTCTGTTCACTGAAGTGCCTAGATCTAGCATCTGGAATAGTACTGGGCATGTCCGATGTTCAGGACAAATCTCTGTTGAATGAATGAATACCAGCTTATGACTTAGCCAGAGCCTAGATGCCCAATAACCCCTTTTGAGTGAATGAACACTGGCTTATGAGGCAGATGTACCAGCTCGGAAGGGATCTACCACACAGCCATTTTCTCCCCAAGGCTTTCTAACAAACTATCGTCCAGCCTGCAGATTTGCAGGGTCCTGGGTCCGGCTGAGCAAAGCGGGGAGAGGCTAAGGGCTCTCCATTCCTCACCTACTCACCTCCAGCAACTGTTTCAGAGACGCCTCTACAGGAACAACATAAGATATTATTACTAATATGTTCCACGGTATGGGCAGCAGCGCGGCCCCTGTCAATCACTTCAAAAATTTAGGATGGGAGTAGAGAAAAGATTAGGGTGAAGCCGTGAAGGTGAGGGGGGCAATCGCGCAGATGCGGTCAGCCCGAAGGGAGCCCTCGGGTGTCCCGGCTTGTGTGTCTCGGTGCGCGCGGGGGACTCACCGGGATGCCGTATCGCGTCCGATACAAGGTCCTCATAGCGACACTCGCTCCGCACAGACAGCATTCGTTCATATCGGAGGCGATCTGACATGAAAGGCACAAGGGAAAGAAAGTCCCACAGAGGCCTGAGTGCAGGGGGAAACCACACAGAAGAGTTAGTGAAAGGCATCATGCTTTCAAAGAAATTACACCTCTTTCAAAAAGATGCTGGCTCAGGAAATGGCTTTCACGGGCCCTCAGAGAAAACAATGTTGTCATCTTGCTCCTTATGTCTTGCTGCTAGAGCCCTCTGTCGAGGAATTGGGGCTAATTTGTGAGTCACTGTATCAGGTCCGATTTAATTGCAGAAGTTCCTGCCTTGCCAATCTGAGCGTGCTCACGCTCTCTCTCTTCCCTGCCCTTGTTACCTCTGGGTCATGCTTGGGGAGGAAGTTTGTGGCGTCAGGGTGTCTGAGAAAACCTCGAAAAACCGTGGGAGGGGGTTGAGGGTCAGAAAACACTGAGGGAAGAATCATTAGGGACAAAGAGCGGAAATAGATTCTAGAAGGTCACTCAGGCAAAAGGACTCTTATCATCGTTATGAGGATGGAAGCAAGCAGAAATTAAGGGATATTGGTATCAGTTGTTTAAAAAGTTGAGTACAGTTTCACTTTAAAGAGTCTCTGCAAGGCACAGAAAGGGCCCAAGAAAATAACAACAAGCAGGAAACTGTTCTCAAATATGCTTTGAGTAAAAGTCTATTTTGAAAAGTGCTGGGGTGGAGTTGCAGTATGGCTGTACCCTAGATATGATAAGAGAGTCAGTTTTTTGATTGATTGTTTTTAAGCAAAAGGCTATCTCCAAAGAACCTGGCACTTCCGTCATACACAAAAAAAGGAGGCTGTTTCTCACACATGATGTCGAGATGAGCCCCACAGAGAATGTCTGCAACCCATATGGCAGGAGACTCTGAAATAAGAAAAAAACTTCTCATACCAAAGTGTGTTTTGTAGTGGGAAAGAAGTAGAAGCCTGCAGTGCTTTCTGAAATGGAACAGTGACAAGAGTTGCAAGAATGGCATTGAAAGATGGAAAACACAGAACGGCATTGTCGGAAAAGGGAGAGGTAAGTAGAAGACAAGCTGGAGCATGTGTTAAGAGCACGGTGATACTAAGAGGTGAAAAATGGCAGATGGCGATTGATCTCAACAAGGATCACAAACTCAAGATCATGCAGGTAAAATGAGTGATGGATGGGAGAAAAACACAAAATAGTCAATAGCGGGCATAAATAAATACGGCAAACTGTAGAATGAGAATCTCTTTTAATGGGATTAGCTCATGCTAAGCAGCAGCTGAACTCTGTCATGTGTGATGAAGGCTCATCTTCCCACATTTTCCAATTTTTGAGAGGAGTTGGAAATCTAGATTGGAAAGCCAGATTTTTATGTGAAATCTTATTTTCATATGTTTCCTTGTATTTTTTAAATTACTACATGAAGCGAGTTCATCATGTACAGGACAAACAAAACACATCCGGTGGCTAAATACACCCATGGGCTTGCAGCTTGTGACTTCCGAGTTGGACAGTAGAGCAGGAGCTCAGTGACAGGAAAAGTTAGACGGGTTTTATTAGGTCAGGAACCTGCATTCTGGGAGTCGAGGAGGAGCAATAATTAAGTGCACTTACAAATCCCCAGGTCATCACAGCAGTCAAATATGCCAGTTTGCCAGGCACTATTCATCACACCTCCTGTACCATATCCTGGCTGCGAAACGACTGGATTCATTTTTAAGGCTAAGTTCCAAAGGGCACTGCCTGTGAAAACAAAATCAGAAAGGTATTAAACACCTACCAGTATTGGTTGGATAGCATGTAGACCCCAGTCGAGAAGACATTTCATCACGCTTCTCTTGATTGGGGTGGCCACCCTCAACTGACTTAGCAAGACATTTCTGGACTATTGTCGATACTTGGTAATGAGAAACATCAAGGAAGTGGGGTGAGGGTTCCTTCCACAGGTTTTCTGGGGGGTTTTGTTGCCCCTTTCTCTGATCCCTTTTTTCTTTTTATCAGCAAGATTTTTTTTTCTATTTCAAGATAACCATCCTGAACAATGTCTTTTTTGCACATGAGGTGTTTTATTTAATAGTGATTGTAATGACTTTTACAAAACTATTGCATAGACATTATCTCAATTGCCCCTTAAGAACTTGGTGAGATAAAGTTCTTCTCCAAAAAAGTTGTCATTACACGATGCTTCTAGATAATGTCAGTCCTCATTCTGTAATTGCTAGTGGTATCCTGATAGCTAAAGTTTTAACAGATGTCCTCGGTTACTTAAAAAAAAAAAAAAAAAGATTAACTTCTTTTTGTGAAATCGTCAGGCCAGAATCTGTAAAAAAAAAAAAGAAAAAAAAAAATGGGGGTGGATTTCAAGCTTCCACAGAAAAATCCAGTAGTTGCAAAGCCACTAAGAAATGGTGACCCTCAAACAAAGTGGTGCCTATATACTTCTCAGATTTCATCCAGTGATCAAGTGAAGTCTCCTGGAAGTTTTCAGAACTCCCAAGGGAGATAATGTATTTGGTTTCACAAGGGTTAATGTTAAAACTTTCTTCTTTACTACTTCATATCTAACCATATGCTGTGCTCTGTAGCCTTCGACCCTGCTCACCTCTAACACTTCCCGTAGCCAGGTGCAAGGAACATCCGGCCCCATTATCTGTCCACCTGCCCCTCCCTGTTGCCAGGGAGGGCATCTCAGTCCTGACTGTGCACTAGGCTCATCCTTAGTGCTTGGTTGAAAACACACATACTTGATTCTGATTCAGTAGCTGGGGTGGACCCTGGGCGAGTAAAAGTTTTAAGAGGCGACGGTGATGCAGACAGCTCTGCGGACCACTGACTGATTACAGGTCATTTCCCTCTTGCTCAGCCCTTACCAGTCGGTCTTCTTAGCTCTTCCCCTGCCCTGCTCTTTTTCCTGATTGATTTTTTATCCACTGAGATCGTGGCTGTGATCAGTTGATTACCCCACCAGGTGAGTCCCTACAAATGGGGTGGAGGTATTATGGAATAATATAAGCCAGGGCACTTTGACCGCCTTAAAAGGCTGCCTCTAATATTTATTATCAAGAACCTGCTTTCCGACACAAAGGGGAAAACACCAGATTGAGAAGGCTCTATAATTACTGTCACCTTGCACCCGGAATTATGGTTGAAACTATGGGGCTAGATAAACATTTCATTGGAGTCCAGAGGTCTTTCTCCTCTCTGATTATTTAGGAGGATTATGATATCTTTCCTACTATCATCCAATCAGAGTGGGCACATGATGTGAACTCAATCTACTACCTGAGAAATAGTTACAAAAGTTGAATAAATTGCACAGGTAATGTGTTGTTCGATACTGAATGTTATAGATATACTTCTGGCCTCAAGGATGAATGATCCAATGCCTTCAAAATATATACTGGGAAAAGCATGACACGAAAGGTACATATAGCTATTCCTGCTGCGTGTGTATCATTAAAGAAAGAAAAGAAAAATATACCAGTAAGCTGTATTCTTAATAGAAAATTACTTCTTAGAAGAATCAATGCTTTGGGTGAAAAAGTTCACATAACCACACAAATCAGTTTAGCCAACGTACCAAAATGGAAAACTATGTTAAAGTTCTTTTCAAGACCCCAACCCTAAAAATTATTCCAGGGCAAAGACTCTGTCTTAACTATTCTTCCAGCGCTTCGTTACCCTTTGTACAGCCCTGGAAATATCTATTTGTTGTAGTCACTAGTTTACAGTAAGTATAAAATTTGCTGTGTTTAGTGTAAAAACAAAATGACAGCGAGCAGGGACGCCTGGATGGTTGGTTGGTTAAGCGTCTGCCTTCGGCTCAGGTCATGATCCCAGGGTCCTAGGATCGAGTCCCGCATTGGGATCCTTGCTCAGCAGGAAGCCTGCTTCTCCCTTTGCCCGCCGTTTCCCCCTGCTTGTGTTCCCTCTCACTCTCTCTCTGTGTCAAATAAATAAATCAAATCTTAAAAAAAAAAAAAATGCCAGTGAGCAGGCTGGAGAATCAGTTCTGATAGGAATCCTGAAATGGGCATCTGCTGCGATTGCCCTACATGCAAATCACATCTATCCTAAATTGTATTGTGTGTGTTAGGTCAATTAATTTAATTCCTAATCTAACACAGGGACTCTTACCACTTGTTTTTCAACCTGTAAATTCCCAAAGAGGTTACATGCCAGAGCCAAGGAAAAGTCATGATCGCTAGTCCAACATCCTTAATTTATAGACGAGGACATGAAGCATGTCTTCCACAAAGCCACAGATGAAGGGGAAAGAAACAGAAAGTAAGTCACATGTCCACAGTGACAGAGTGGCAGGGCTGGGATTTGAATTCAGTTCTTGGGATTCCAAAGCTGTTACGCTTATTTCCAAGGAGTTTCTCAATCTGGGATTATGAATCTTGGCCAGCTAAAGTGAGCAAGACCTGTTTGGGAAGGAAAGGTAAGCATTTCTTAAGGTGTCCCTTCCCAGGCAAATTTTGGAACTGTAGGGAGGTGGACAGTTTGTGACTAACTTTGCTTTCTTTTAAGTATGCCTGTTAGTCTGTATGTGTGTGCTTGTGTGTATTTATCTAGGTATGTATTTTTAGTATCTTGAACCCAGTCACTCAAAAACTTCCTCTAGTGATAGACACTGGGGAGGGTATGTGCTATGGTGAGCGCTGTGAATTGTGCAAGACTGTTGAATCATAGATCTGTACTTCTGAAACAAATAATGCAATATATGTTAAGGGAGAAAAAAAAGAAGAAGAAGATAGCAGGAGGGGAAGAATGAAGGGGAGTAAGTCAGAGGGGGAGATGAACCATGAGAGACGATGGACTCTGAAAAACAAACTGAGGTTTCTAGAGGGGAGGGGGGTGGGGGGATGGGTTAGCCTGGTGATGGGTATTAAAGAGGGCACATTCTGCGTGGAGCACTGGGTGATATGCACGAACAATGAATCACGGAACACTACATCGAAAACTAATGATGTAATGTATGGTGATTAACATAACAATAAAAAATTATTTAAAAAAAGTAAAGGAGGAAGAAAATGCAAAAAAAAAACCCAAAAAACCAAAAACTTCCTCTAGAGTTCCACCATACACATTCAGTTAACTGGTTCACAACCAGGATTATTTTGACCCCCGCCCCCAGGGGACATTTGGCAATGCTTTGAGATATTTTTGGTTGTCACAATTGGGGGTGAGGTACTGTGGTTATTCTAGTGGATGGAGGCCAGAGATGTTGCTAAACATCCTGCAAAACGCAGGACAGCCCCCACAACAAATAAAGTTCTATCCCCAAATGTCAACAACAGTGCTGAGAAACCATGGTTCAAAAACATCAAGGGCATCATGAAGCATGAGCTTCTGGAGGGGTTCTAATGGTGTCTGATTCAGTTTCCCAGGGGTATAAAAACCAGGTCTACAGTAGCCAGACAAGCAGTCCTTGTGAGGAATGGGACCTAAAACGTTGCTTCCTAGTCACACATGTTTCAAAGACTAGAACTCAGGGGTCATTACATGCCCCGGTTTTCCCATAGATTTGTTCACATCCTGTTCTGAAATCCCTCTCCTGTGTGGCACATCCTGCTAGTCGTTCCCCTCCCACCCACCTGCCTCTTTTCCTTCTGCTTTTGTTCTTATGTGGACAGTGTAACCCTCCAGGTCTACTTTTTTTTTTTTTTTTAAGATTTTATTTATTTATTTGAGAGAGAGAATGAGAGACAGAGAGCATGAGAGGGAGGAGGGTGAGAAGGAGAAGCAGACTCTCTGCTGAGCAGGGAGCCCGATGTGGGACTCGATCCCAGGACTCCAGGATCATGACCTGAGCCAAAGGCAGTCGCTTAGCCAACTGAGCCACCCAGGCGCCCCTACTTTTTTTTTTCTCTTTCAATAAACTTTTTTTTAAATTTAAAGTCAATAAATTTTTATTTAAGGAATTTTACATGTGATTCCTTCCACTGCTAATCACCATAGTTCCTCCAAAGTCAGAATCATAATCTTCAAAATAGCCCTTTTAAAAAGAACTTTTGTTCAAAGTGGTAGCGTTCTTTCTTTCAGTTGGACTTCTTTGATCTCCACTTGAATATGGACATACTTCAAAAATTCCCCACCTGTAATCTTTGGGGTCCAATTTCTTTACTTTAGGGCCATGGTTAGGGTCAGAGTAGATGGATCTGCCTGGTTCTCAGTTTCAAACACCTTCTAAACATGAATGAGTTCAAATCATACTCACCCCTAAACTATCACACCCTAGAGTTGTACAGATTGTTGGGATACACCAATATCTAAGATTTTAAAAATGTGACTATTAGGTCTTTCACATAGTTTTAGCAGATAGATGTCTTGCAGTTCCTTCCCACAGATCTAACACATAGTTCTGTGAACAAAGGAAACCACACATACACTCTAGAGGGGTTTCCAACCATGTGGGTCTACAGAAAAAGTCCCATCGGGATAGACCTCAACTCTCAGTAAACCTCTAACTGAAGTGCAATATACATTCAGTAAAGTGCCGAAATCGTCAGTTCTTGGACCACAGCCTGATTCAAGAAGAAGGACATTACCAGCACCACAGAAGCCCTCCTTACTCTCTTAGGAAGGCCCTCTGCCTCTGCCTGTGTTTGAGCCTTACACATATTGAATTATATGTACTATTTATTCTTCTGTGTCTGGCATCTTTGGCACAAAATTAGGATTGTGAGATGCAACCATGTAGCATACAACGATAATTCATTTATTCTTGTTGGCATATA